GCAGAGAAGGCCCGTCGCCTGGGACCCACCAAATGTACATCCCTGGCAAATGGTACCCACACCATGCCTTCTCTGCCAGATCTAATGGGGTGGGCTGATTTAACCAGGGAGAGAGTTGCAAGATTGATGTCAGCCTCCTAAGTAGACCAGACACGAAACAAGACAAGATGAACTAATTCTACTTTATTGTAAGGCTACGTTAACAGAATCTGGCAAGTCTGAAAGTACAAATCTCCTGCTGTCCCTTTTTATTGCCTCATCAGTTACGGCAGATCCTTTCTAAGTTTCCTTCTCTGCCCGTTATTCAGGTGCAGGTCCCTCCCCCTTTTATCTGATCGTTCCTTAGGCAGCATCTCTTCCTCCCATCTTCCAAGGTCATTCTCACATTCCAGTACATAGGGTAACTGAGGCCCAGGAGTGGATTGCTCCTATGTGGCCTCTCTCTGTGCACCAATCCTGGGGTGGATCTTGATTCTCCAAGGAGGTCTGGGAGATGAAGTGCCAGAAGTGATGCCTGGAGCATCACTGGAAGAAGACAAGGAGTGAATCTGGCTGAGCCCGAATCAGAGTCCATATTTCTCTATTTTTATTGTATCTGTCGATAGCTGCCCAGTAGCCCTGTTTAGAGTGACCTGCTCCCTGTTGGGGGAGCTGGGCCTCAGGACCATTTGCAGAGTCGCAGCAGTAGTATTGACACTATTGGGCAGATAAAAGGTAACTTGCATTTGCTCCAAATTGGACTCTGACTGGCCAAGTCCAAATGAGGTGCCTGGGATACAATTTTGTGAGGTTAACTAGATTGAGTTTGATTCTGTGATTCCTGAGGAAATGGAGTCACTTCTTTGTTAGATCCTGGCCCCTTCTGGGTTGTTAAGGTGACCTAGGAGGTGATTAAGGGATAGGTCCATGCAATGGTATCTTCTTCAAGGGAGGGGATGATCCCTCCAGTCTTGAAGGAGGTGGTGGTATGCCCCCTCCTGAAAAGCCTGTCGCTGGACCCCGTACCTCCCCATTTTGGATAACTGTTGGCCAGTTCCCAATCTTTACTTTGTTGGGAAGGTTGCAGAGAAGGTAGCCAGACAGCAGTTACAGAGGCTCTTGGTGGAAATGGTTTATCTGGGCCCATTGCAGTCTGGCTTGAGAGCCAGGTATAATATGGAGACAGCACTGGTTATGCCTGTTAATGACCTTCAGTGGAGGTGGGATGGGGGTGGTGCATCCATCCTTGTGCTCCTTGATCTCTCAGCAACCTTTGATACCATTGACTGTGGTATCCTTCTGGATTGACTGTGAGTGTTCAGAGTGGGAGGCACTGTGTTGCGGTGGTTCACTCCTTCCTCAATGGTTGGTTCCAGTCAGTGCTGACAGGAGGGGAGAGATTGCACCTGCAGCCCCTCACTTGTGGAGTGCCCCAGAGTTTGACACTTCCCCCCTCTTGTTTAACATTTACATGAACTGCTGGGTGAGGTTACCCACAGTACGATAATAATACCCAGCTTTACATCTTTGCCCTCTACCTGCAGAAGTGAAGCTCTTGAGGTAATGACCCAATGTCTAGAGGCTATTCAGGTCTGGATGGGGAGGAACAGATTTCAGTTCAATCCTGACAAGACTGAGTGGCTGTGGCTGCCTGGCCCCCTACCATTAATGGTGGTGGGGACATTTCCACCATTAGATTTAGATGGGGTTGCACTTCCCCATTCGAGACTTGTGTGCAACTTGGGGGTCTTCCTGGACTTGCAACTACTGCTCAAGCAGATGGCAGCTATGGCCAGAATAGCCACTGCACAGGTACATCTTGTGTGCCAGTTTCACCCCTTCCTCAACTGATAGGCCCTGTAGACGGTCACTCACACTCTGGCCACCTCACAACTGGACTAACCACAATGTGCTCTACATGGTGCTGCCCTTGAAGACCATCCAGAAACTACAGCTGGTTTAAAATTCAGTGGCGCAAGCAGTAATGAGCACTTTCATATGTCATTACTACTATGTGAGCTGCACTGGCTACCAGCTGTCTTCTGGGTGCAATTCAAGCTGCTGATTGTTACCTTTAAAGCGTCTCATGGCATAGGGCGTGGTTATCTGAGAGCCTATGTCTCTCCTATTGTTTCTGCCCACCCAGTGTTTTTTTGGCAGAGTGGGTGTGCTCCACGTCTCTTCTATTAAATGCTGCCATCTTATGCTACACCCTTCCCAGGATTCCGAAAAGTGCTTAAAACCTGGCTTTGGTCCAAGGGCCGGGGGCTAATATTTTGGGGGAAGGGCTGTCGCACTGAGTTTTAATGGCTGTTTTTAGTCTGCGCTGTTTTGTTTTGCCTATTTTAAATTGTTTTATCCTAGTACTAGATTTGGTATGCCATCCAGAGTTTGCTGGAGTTGTCAGCTATAATAAATTTAATGAACTAAATAAATATCAATCTAATTCCCAAAAGATGATTTCCTCAGTCATGCACCTCACACTATACCTAATTTTTATCAGCTTTATTTTTCTGTTATTTGCCAGAATGACAGTTTCAGCTCAAATAATTTCATCATTTTTATTCTTAATTCCACTGACTGTTGGAGGCTCCTTGTTTAGTCCTCTTCACCCACTTTCATTTTTTTCATCAAAATAGCTCTCCATTTATTCCACTGACTGTTGGAGGCTCCTTGTTTAGTCCTCTTCACCCACTTTCATTTTTTTCATCAAAATAGCTCTCCATTTATTCCACTGACTGTTGGAGGCTCCTTGTTTAGTCCTCTTCACCCACTTTCATTTTTTTCATCAAAATAGCTCTCCATTTTCTTTGCCTCTTTAAAAGCTATATGCTCCCTTTGACTACATTCTTACATTTTTCTTTATACACTCATTATATAATTTCCTTTCATCCTAATTTTTTGCATTTCTTATAAGTATTCCTTCTCATCCACAGCCTCTTTCACCTCATCATTCCACCAAGCATTCTCTTATTCATATTTCTCATTAGCATGAGGCTCCCTTTCAATGTACTCTGCTATTCCAAGCAGCTTCTATATAATCTTTTCTTACATTTCTTTTCTATTCATAATTTTGGGATTAATCTATCCTCTAATATTTTTTCATACAGAATTCATACTTTTATTCCTGCAGTTATTACACTTTCCTTCTAATTTCTTTCACTTCTTTTGTTTTCCTCCCATCCATTTTTCTCCAGATCCACCTTGTCACTAGGTAATAACAGTCTGCCTACATTTAAAATTTGTCATAATTCTTGTATCCTTCATAATAAACAATCAAATCAATCATGCTTTTCAATTCATTTCTTTTCCATGCATATGTGTTAATAGATAGGCTTAAACTATATGAAACAAACAGAATTTTTTCTAAGTGGATACTCACCAATCACCATTAGATTCTAGGGTCTACAAATAGCCCAACCAACATTTTGTATTCTCTCATCTTGTTCCCACCCATGCATAATAGTTATTTTTCCCAGATCACATTTATTCAGAATGTTCCACAATTTCCCCCCAATCCATTTTTTTAAAAAATTATCACTCACTTGAGTACACTGTGCAACTATCACCACCTTGAATACCAATTTTTATACATATGTACAATAATCTAGATGATACCAATTCACTCTTTCATTCTAAATTCATTTGCCTTTCATAATGCATGGAGCTTTTGTTTTCACATGTGAGTTCCTCAACTCCACCCCACAAAATAAGAGCACATTCATTTATAACCTCCCGCTTTTTTATAGTTACAATCTTCTGTACATAGTGGTCATGAACAGATAGGCTCATCGACACTGACCTCCACCACCCATCATGGCTTTGTTCAACTAAGGCTTTCATATAATACTTTTTATTAAAAATAGTCTAGGTAGTCACCCTTAGTTGTATCTATGTCACCTGCAGCATTTCCAGCTAATGGTAAAGATCCAATACTGTCAATTTTAGCACATTTTGGCTAGTATGCTATAAGGGGAACCAAATCCAAGTTTTAACCCAATCACACTTACGTTATTCTATGCTAGACTATTTCTCTAATTTAAAGATGATCTTGTAAGCCAACATGCTGTTGATGGCACTTTGTCATTTAGAAGGTATAAGTAGTGCACTGACACACAAAGGGTAGATTTAAATCATGTGATGACTGCAGATCTACCACTTATTTTCTTATCTTGATGCGTGCACCTTGGTTTAAAGAACAGCAACAGAATATAAGTTTCTGGTCCATAGAGGGGCATTGCTTACAAAGACCTATATAAAAATATAGCATACTTTTAACTGAAAGTGTGCAATCTTAGATTTAGCCATTCTGCTACTAAATCACATAAAATGATGGTTATTCAAAGATACTCTATGGAAATGAATCCCCACATGCCAGTTTACAATCAAATAAAAGCACCAAAAATAACAAAATATGTTGACTGGATCCTGGCTTCAAAGAATGCCTGATATCTATTATCCCTTGTGCCAATTGGCTCATTTGTTATCTTACATACAATGTGAAAGCACAAACGATTTTTTTAATTCAGAAAGGAGCACCTTCTCTAGATGCACCTTTCCCAAGCTCTGCGCTACACTATACCTGTTGCTGGTCTGCTCCTTTTTTGCTGTGATTCTGGATGTAATCAACCAGTCCATGTACCACAGTCCGTACAGCAACTAATCCATTCTCAAGCTGTTCCCATGTGGGAGGTGGGGCATCTAGTGTTCACAAGAAAAAGATCTGAGTTTTTCTCAGCAATGGGAAATTCTATAGAACAAAAAATCTTCTTTCATCATAAAAACCATTAGGCTTTTTTGTAACATGGAAAATATAAGACTTTTACAAAGAAATGATAATATGCAAGAATAAATATTTGATTCTAAAAAGCAAATTAGGTTTCTTTCATGACAAGAGCAGGATTCTTTGGCCATTTATTTACTTCTTTTTCTTCCTTCTTCAGAATGAATTTAGTTGATTTTACTGTGATGCTTTTATCTTAGAGTGTTTTTGTTATTTTTGTTGTACTGGGCTTTTCTGGCAGGAATAAAATATAGAAATAAAACAATAAAGTAAATATATAATAAAATCATGTGAGCTTTAGAAATGCCATGAGATTTTAGCCATTTCATTTTACTTTCTTAAAATTTTTATGTGATTTTGAGGTTAGGTTGTCATCTTCAGGGAATGGAAATTATATGTAAAATAGAATGTGCAGTCACCACTGACCTCTGATTCATATAGTGATCCCCAAAAGCTATAGTCCACATGAAGAAAAAATGTGAAACTGCTGATCTAAAAATATAGCTTCATAAAGCTGATGAAACTGGCTCTAGTTCACAAAAGCTTATGTCCTAAAAAATACGTTAAGTCTTAAGATGCTATAAAACCTTTGTTTATTTACTTATCTATCTAAATTTACCTGGACTGGGATCAATATTTGCAAGGAGTTCAAGATGGGGTCGAAGCCGGGTCAGATTGGCTGGATCACCAGTCCTCTGGAGAGCAATGGTTAATTCCTGAACACTCTGTGCAAAAGAGGCCGGGGTCTGCAACTTAACACATACAAATATTACTAATTAGAACTGCTTTCTGTCCACCTGGACACCACCAATCAAACCCCATTGGAACACACATTTTAACATTTTTATCTTAATATTTGTGACTTGAAGCACATTTTCTTCTAGAATTTGATGTCTTCTCCAGGAATACTGTAAGAGCATTAATTGCCAGTGTAGTAAAGAGAATACAAAGACACTAAAATAAGTTTCCAGTCAAGAAAACTGCTATTACAAGATGACAAAAGCAAAAATGATTAACTTCTGGCATCTTTTGCACCGATCCTTCCATTTCACTAATTGGTCATTAGTTGCATGTAAACAAAGCTTTGATTTCTTTTGCACTATACACACACAAGTTCCCCCTTACCCTCTGGGTCTCTTGATAAAAGAGGTTCTATTTACTTAGTATGCAGGAGTAACTGCAGTGTTAAAGTGGATGAAAGCTTCAACATTCTGAATATCAGCTCCTGAAAAATCAGTTAAGATTTGCTGTATTTTGTCAGGATTAAATACTGCACGGAAAGATAACTTGAATTTTATTTATTAAAATTAATCACTGTTACACTGCAGTCTCATAACACAATAGCATGGAAAAACTGTAGTGTTTCCCCTGCAGCTAGACCTGCAAGAGGTTGCTCCCACAGTTGCATTATGGTCTCAGGCACTCCAAACATTACATATCAAGCCCCAGCCCAGCATGGACTAGAGCTGAAATTACTTCTGCAATTGTACTATGCTTCTAAGTTATTTTACGTACCTCACCTATTCAGCCTGATACAAATGGGCTTTAGCCTTTTTTTCAAGTACAGTGGTACCTCTACTTACGAACACCCCTACATACGAAAATTTTGAGATATGACCAGCTCCGACACCAAAAATTTACCTCTACTTACGAACTTGCCTCGACTTACGAACTGGATCCGCGGCCATTTTCCCTGCTGCCACGCAGTCGCGGCTTCCTGTGGGCGAGATCGCGGTAGCAAGGAGACGTTCGGTGAGGCTTGTGGTGTGTTTTGTGGCGTTTTGGAAGGTTTAGGAAGGGGTTTGGTGTGCTTGTCAGCATGGCTCCAAAAAAAATGCAGAGCAGGCTTGGCAAGAATAAGGCTTTGAAGAAAAAAGAGACGAGCCAACTTTAGAAGGACATTATAGAAAAGCATGATTGTGGTATTCGTGTAACTGATCTGGCCTCAGAGTACAAGATGGCGAAGTCGACCATCTCGACTTTTCTGAAGAATAAAGATGCCATCAGAGGAGCTGATGTGGCAAAAGGAGTGACAATCTTAACGAGGAAGAGGACACAAGTGCTGGAAGAGGCGGAAAAGCTCTTGTTAGTGTGGCTGAATAAGAAACAGCTGGCAGGTGATAGCGTGAGTGAAGCTATCATCTGTGAAAAAGCCAGGAAACTGCACAGTGATTTACTGCGGACAAACCCCTCTACCAGCGTAGAAAGTGAGGA